CGGTGGATTCGTTTTGGGGATCAGATGGGAATACGTGATGTTATCGTCGTCGTTTTACTGCCACTCGAAGGTCGTCATCTGCAAACAGGAAGAATTTCTGTTATTAGGGGAAAAGTTAACTATAGGCTCATACACTCACCATACTGCAATAATCTACATATATGTAATATACATGTATGTAAATTTCATCAAAACCAATTATGCTTGTATTTTTAGAAATAAAAGTAAACTAACTAACAAACAAACATGCTGACGCTGATGACTATAGTTGAACAAGGGAATTTTAGTGACATTACAGGCACATGGGACTTGTCAACATATGTCTCTGGGTGACGGGAGCAGTGGCAATGCCCCTCAGATCTTTGTGATTTAAAGATCTGAGCGGCACTGAATCAACCATGAACAGGCGTGTCGCTTACCACCAATCACACGACCTGTTCGTCCCGTCCGCGTCGTCGCTTAATAGCATAAAAATATAAAAAAATGTATAAAAAGTACACTTTCAGTATTTTTATGATTCATGACCTTGAACAATAAGATTATATCGACTCATCCGTAGAACAAAGGCCTATGTGCAAGACTTCTTATTCTTAGGACAGTGCACAATTTGTTAGTTGTTCTTCGCTGTGGATAAGAGATCAACCGTTGTTCGATTTTTAACCGATTTCAAAAAAAGGAGGAGGTTCTCAATTCGACTGTATGTTCTTTTTTTTCATGATTCTTTTTTTTGTTGAATAGAGGGTACCTCTATAGTGATCCCATTTAATTTTGAAGAAAATCATCCACCTCTTAGGGTGGCTTTTCACGCATAAAGATTCATTTTTATAAATAGCGCCTAAATTTTAGTATAATGAGCAATTATTTTAATGGTTGACTTTGCTATTCTTTAATTCAAGGCGTTTTTCTCTCAATATACTTTGAGTAGTGAGAACCGATTTTTATTATCTCCTGTGTCAAGTCCCGTATAGTGGCGAACTAGGAGATGAATCCGGGTTTGCGCACTTTCCGGTAACCGATTTCAATAAAACTTGGTAATTATATGTTATTCCACGTACTTTTGAGGTCGGTTTTTTTAGTACTCTGTACTGAAATTATTATTATATATTCCCGAAACGAAATAAGATACAAAAATTCTGAAAACATTCGAACTAAGACTTATCTATAGAAGATAAGTCTTAGTTCGAATAACGAGATTATGACGTGTATATCCTATTTTCGCTGTATAATCACATCGGACTCTGTTCTTCGGATGAGTCGTAATTTCTATTGTCACAGAACGGAATGGAAGCGAATGCCATCAGGGGGTCTATTCCCGTTCTCCGGCTGACATCCATTTGACACAATTAGTGACAAGTAAATAATACTATACCAAATTAAAGGACGCATGATGCGAAAGAAACTTCCTTCTTGATCTTTTGATTTGGTCGATTATTACTTATTTGACAGTAATTGTTTTTTTGTGAGAACGGGAGTACACCGCCTGGTTCGGACCGCCTTCAATAATATGTGACCCAGTAACCTATGGGTGTCACCATCTTCTAGCCGTGTGAGTTTTTCTAACTACCGGCACTTGGTTATCATTATTTAAAATTATGGTGACACCCACGTCTTTAGTTCCTTCGAGACTATGCACGTTACCACACGTCCGAAACATCGAGGTAAATAAAATATATTAGTACAGGATTAAGTCCCGATATTAAATTCAAATGATGTGTGAAAAACTTGAAAGTTTATTTCAATGACTTACCCAAAGTTTGATGACGTTTCTAAGCTTGTTTTTTAGTTGTTCCCTAGCGGTTTCGTCATGGTTGAACACTCCTGCAATAGAATCTATTGTTACTCTTCAATCTAACTAAGCTAACTTTATATGTTCAACAAGAAATTTATACACAAGAGAATGCCACAGCAGTAATGATATAAATGTAATTGCGATAGTGTAGAGTGCTAACCCTACACTATGTTGCAATTAAAAACCGTGTTTAATTAACTTTCATGTAAATAGTAATAAACTCTGTTATTTGTGCCAACTTGAATCACTGGTGTTAGTTTAGCTACTTATACTATGGTTAGTTACATTCAAATTAGAATAATATGGTTTTAATAACTTTATAACATCTATTGATCAACACAAAAAAAAAACAAATTAAATAAATAAATAAATTACATTATAAATTTCGAGAATACTACAACTTAATTTACAAACAAATTATCAGACAAATTATATTATTGAATTCTAAATAGCATTATTATTAAAATTATTTATATGAACACTGCCGCAATGTACAAAATGCCGAGACGACGGGCAGTCAAATCAAAAATCAAAAAAAAAAAAAAAAAAAAAAAGGCGCTCCGCAGATGGAACAACTTTAGTTGACGCAACTGGCAACTTTTTACAAGTTTCCATTAAAGGTTGCCGGTTGTAGCAACTAAAAGGCGTAGTTGACGGATGCCGCAATTTCAAATAAACTTTCGAAATCCACGGTCAAGACTGACGCTGCGGGGGACAGGGAGGGAGTAAAATTGCTTCACGAGTTGCGGTTGCCAGTTGCGGAAACTGGCAACTGGAGACAACCGGTACAAATTTACAAGTTTCTAGTTAAGGCAATTTAAAAATTTATTTAATCACGCATTTCGGCAATTGAAAACTGTAGTCGATTGCCGAAACTCTCAAGTGAAGTTGCTACGTCTGCGCGGTTTCTTGAAATTATATGAAAAACGTCATTAACAGCCAGTTGCGGGTTACCACTTGCCGAAATTCGATGATCAAAGTTGCTCCATCTGCGCAGCGCCGTAGCAATCACGTTCAAGATGCTTGAACCTATTCTGTTACATTAAAGGCCGTGTAATTAGTCTCAACGCGTAAAGACCCTTGCACAAAACTTAATGCAGCTACCGACTGTGAATAGCATTATTAAATTGCATATTTGTTCATCATTGTTGTAATTCAATTTTCCGTAATATTTTTGTTGTTTTGTAGCGTATGAGTGACTGCTTTGATCAATAAGTACCATATATCATTCTGGATTTGAAATTTTTCAATTATAAATATCGAGGCATGACCGCCTACTTATCATAAACGACATTATTATCTAAATAGCGTTTTTTATTGCGAATGACATTTGAAACTCATGCGAGTGTTTGCTCATTAATAATAATAATAATAATAATAATAATAATAACGCACACACTCAACATAGCCCCGCACTAGGGAAACCCTGTGTCGCGGGTGCCATGGACACACACATAGACAACCACAAATTACACCCAAACTCACGAGAGAAATAAATGTAGGCCATACAAATATTTCTCCCGGCCCGGGAATCGACCGGGGACCTCTGCGTGGCAGTCCGGTATGGTAACCGTTCGGCCACATAGGCAGTTAAAAAGCTAAGTTAAGTCATTACGTCCTATTCGTGTCAGGGGGTCTACTCTCGATCTCCGTTCGACATCCGTCCGGAACAATTACTGCCAAATAAGCAATACTTGACCAAATGAAAAGACGCGTGATGCGAATGAAGCTTCATACTGGATACTTGTCTTTTAATTTTGTCGGATATTACATATTTGACAGTAATTGTTTCGGACGGAGATCGAGAGTAGCTCCCCAGTTCCGAATCCGAGAAACGACGCTCCGAAATATCACAGGAATCATTTTGTCTCTAGGCGTAGAAGCGATATTCGTATTTTCTGAGACTCGAATCGGACTTAGTGTACAAGCGACATACAAAGTAGGTCCGAATTTTCTAGATTTGGAAGAATTGGAAGCATCAAAATTAAAAAAATCATTAAAACGACCCCATTGTTATCTCAACCAACTATTTCGTCGTTTCAGCACTACAAAACAAAGTGGCAAAAGTGTTGCACCTTGTTGCATATTTTTAATCACAAGTGTCACCTTAAACGACTAAGAATAGATAGCTAAATATAATAATAATTTGGTCACGTAGAAATATGTGAATAGAATAAATACACAAATTTGTACAGCGTGAATGGATGGAACCTTACATCATAGGTTAGGGGAGATAAAAAAATTTCAACGCAGACTACCACAAAAAAAAAAATTTGAAAGCACGTATGTTAACTTAACACAAGAAATCACAAGGAAAAAATATATATACTGGGTTATTTTTAAAATAGTAACAACCTTGCAGAACCGAGACGAAACGTGATAAAAATACCAAAAACTTTTTTTTTTACTCTATCTGACACTTTTTACATCTCTATTTGGTAGTAAGGTAGTAAGTTCAAATGTGCAAGCGCCCTCTCCGACGACTCCTGCGTTTTGCACAGAATTATCACGATCGAGGGATCCATTATTTAAATATTTTAATTTTTGTATGAAAGTAAAAACGGATAAATTATTAAAAATCATGGGACGAAAGTTGTTGCGTATGATGTTAGTAACACAGTCCTGCGAGGTTGTTAGTATTATATACATACATATACATATATATGTATATATATATCCTGTATATGTAGAGTAGTTTGCATATTTAGGTTTGTTTTCCAAATGCGATAGCACTCCCTGGACACCATCAACACCAAAATAAATTCATACGCTGTGCCTATAAAATGTGTCTATGATTTTTGCAGCCAGCTTGACTTTTTTCTACTTTTCTATTCAAATTACCCTGTTACATAGTATTCACTATTAATATTTCGATTCTGCTCTTGAGCTTTTCGGCGAAGGATAACGTCGCGATGAAACCTCGACATCAAAAAAGGTTCACAACACTCGGAAAGCGTGTGAAGTCACCAACCCGCATTCGGCCAGCGTGGGGGACTAGTTCCTAAAGCCTCACCTGAGAGGAGACCCGTGCCCAGCAGTGGGATGTACATAAATGACAACCGATGATGATAATGATAACGATGACTTCAAGATTGTTGTCACATTTGATCGTCCATGCAATGGAAGTATGCCCGTATTTTACAAATTTTACATGAATATGAAATTGTAATTTTTTAACATTAGCTACTTTCAGATCTTTTGAGAGATAAATTCAGTAGTAAGTTGTACCTTTTGTGTTTTTTTTCCATTTAGAAGGTTTGTTCGTTTTTCCCTGTGTACAATAAAATAATTATAACATTGTCATTAAAAAAAACCTGACCTCAAAATTTTGTGGAATCACATCTACATTCCAAGTTTTATTGAAATTGGTTAATCCGTTTCACTCACTGTCCGTGAGTGAAATCCAATAGACCGGGGTCATTCCCTAATTTGTCACTCTTGGAGGTGGAATACTTTCTTCAAATTTGACTGGAACCACTCTGAGGTATTTATTCCCTTTCCAACAAAAAAGAATCATCAAATGACAGTCGAATTGAGAACTTCCCCTTTTTTTAAGTCGGTTATAAACGATGCAAAACGTTTATCGTCTTGAAAGTGAAATTCGCAACTTGATTATTTGATTCCTTCTTGTCTTGTGATTACGTCTGTTGAATTATTGTTTTTTTTTTCATTTTCACCCTTTCATTTGAAAATGGCGAAAAGTCCATTTTAATCTGATTAGAAAAGGATAAGTATACATGTTGTTAATACTCACCCATTTTACCAATGGTTTTTTCGCTGAAAATTAGAGTTATATATATCAATCAGACAAAACAAAATCGCTATATGTAGAAGCATGAAGTAGACATTATGTCTATAATTATATTCATATGTATATTTTTAAAATAACATTAGCTTATTATTTCAAAACATTTGACCTCCATCTCATCTGATGTGAATGATAGAGCATGCTCATGTATATAATACCTTTTCACTCTTTCCTTGAAAAGGTCCGTGTTATATCGTTCGGGGAACAAGTCTACAGGCAGGGAATACCACTCCACTGTCGTACGCTTTATAAATGTACAAAAACCAAAGCTTGACAGAGGGCTGGCAGTTATTATACAATTTAATGTACTATTTCCTTCCTTGAGTTGGATTTAATAATAATATAATATAAAGCACACACTCATAGCCCCGCGCTAGGGAAATCCGGTTCTTATCGGTAATCGGTGTACTTATCGCGGGTGCCATGGACACAGACATAGCTTTAACTAAAGTCACAAAGCTCGTAACATCCGTTAATGTAAACCTTTGAACCTCAGGCAACCTTAGGCACAAAAAACAGAATTACTAGAAATAATTACATGACAGTCTATGATTATGCCTTTATTATAGTAAAAAGGGTTCTCTAAATTATATTCTAAGCTTTAATTGCCAGGTATTACACTTGAAGAGCCAAAAAGGCGGCCAGAAACAACGTAAGGAGGTTTTCGAATTTACGAGAGAATCAAATGTAGGCCGTACAAGTATTTCACTCGGCTCAGGAATCGAACCCGGGAGCTCTGCGTGCCAGACCGGCATGGTAACGGCCACAGAGGCAGTTCTACTGCCCTTCCTGTCATAACTAACGCATGTGCATTTCGGTAACTATCGAAATATTGGCACCTAAAGTTTTTAGTGTTTTTTGCTAATAAAAAATGTAAATTCCGCTGATTTTGCTTAACAATAAAACTAAAACTAAATAAGATATAAAAAAATCTGCTTATAGGGGGTTGTAGGTCTCGTTTATTCCAATATTAATATCTCATTTTCGATAACAATTCGATTATTTTTACGTTACCTATGATAAGGAGGGCAGTATGGAAGGCTTTGGCTTTGAAAGTTGTAATCCATACTTAAATACTTATAATAAGCATTATTTTTTATTAATAATTAAAACAATTTATTACTTTTGTGTCGAAAGCGCGTCTTTGCCCAGGGACCTAGGCAAATAAATATACAATGTGTTAATTTAAGTAACATCTGACTATTAAGTAATATTTAGTTTGGCACGTTTGAAAAAAAAATACATTCAACAATAGAGCTGTGAAAGAGTTTGTTCAGGGTAGCACTGTCACTTTATCTATTTCTGTCGCCAAGCAGTAATGTCAGCATTACTGTGTTCCGGTTTTAAAGGGTAAGCATGCTAGTGAAATTACAGGCACACGGGACTTATCAACTTATGTGTCAGTGTCACGGCCTCAGTGGCAATGCCCTTCAGGTCTTTGCATTTAAAGTTCTGAGTGGCACTAAAACTGTTATGGACAGGCGTGTAGCTTACCATCAGGCGCACGACTTATTCGTCCCGTCAGTTGATATTATATATAAAAAAAATGCAGGCATTACGTTGCCGAAATTCATAGTAATATGACGACCTCCATGGTCCAGTGGTTTCCACACCGGTTTTCATGATATCGCCATCTCTGAGGTCCCGGGTTCGATCCCTGCCCGCGTCAATGTAGAAAAACTATCTTTCTATATTGTCTCGGGTCTGCGTGTTTGTGGTACTGTCGTTGTTTTCCGTTTCCATAACACAAGTGTTTTAGCTTTTTTTTTTATAATAGTCTTAGAATAATAACGCATAGAATGATAGTTTCATATCAAACGAGTTCGTTTACATTTACGTTTACGTTTAGTTAGTTAGTATTTAGTTTACGTTTGACAGTTGTCAAAAGTGAGGCAAAAATCAAATTCATGTATGCTAGTTTTAGTAGTAGGTTAATTTTCGGTTTTAGTGAATATTTATATAAAAATACAAGTTGAAACGCGTGACTTCCTTGTGGAATGTGATGTTAGTATCTATTTTATGTTTGTCTGACGTATTTCTACACACATTTACCGCACATTTCGTCATTTTTAGCTAAAATTCTGGAGCTGTTCACGGTGCAAGTTGACCTTGAGCACTGAAGGCCCGCCCGCTCGTGTAGGCCCTTTGAGAGCGCTTCAATTTGCCTCACTTAGCGTGTGCGGGCTAGGTTTCTATGCGTTATTAGGTAAGATAATATGTATAAGGATAATTACTTTGCTACTTTGTGAACTAATATATAACACTTTGCACAGTCTATTCTTCTCAAGATTCGAGGAGTAACGTAGTAATTTACTATCATTTAAAAAAAAAGATAAACACTGTTGTATGATTCTTTATTTGAATGCGCTTCGCGTCATACTCGCTAAATCTCATTGGTTGTTTATGACGTGATAACATCCTACCAACCGACGACAGTGTCTTCACAGCACTGGTCGAGAATATCGGGACATCAAATGCTCATTTCACGCTAAAGATTTCTCGAGCGCAGTTTTCCAAATATGTACAAATATTGATACTAAATTCAATAAAGGAGACTGTAATATAATATATTAATTTAATACGTTTTAATATCATCTCCAACTACTCACCCTTTGTACCCTTAAAATGTAGCTTCTTACGTCTCAGTGCTAAATTGTATAAAAAACGAACAAAAATATTTACAAAGACAAACAAACATAAATTTAAAAATATGTATGCTAAGGAAATAAAACTATTTTTTCGAATCAAAATGTTTGCTTTTTCAAAAAAAAAAACCAACGTTTCGGTCCCTTTACAGGTCTTATGGTCACGGCTGACTGAGATGATAAAGTCATCTACCAGTTATGTCGAAAATTAATAAAAACCACTATTTTTACAAAAGTTATTAATTAAATACTTTATATCGAGTTCTTAGGTTTTCGAGATTGTTACACATAGAAAATGAAACTATTTTTCCGAATTTAAATCGCGTGTATTTATTTTTTCCAAACAAACCAACGTTTCGGGCCCTTTACATGTCCACTTCTCCAGTAGTTTCCAGGTAATTTCAACAGGGAAGATAGTTTCTCCGTACCACCAGTTTGGGATCCAGTATTTCCTCTGATGAAAAATTCCAAAGATTGCAGTACTAATTAATATGTTTTAATATACATAATGTAATTTCTATTATTCATTAATAATAAATTTAACTTAATAAAAATTCATTCAATAAAATAATTTGTAAAACGTAATGCAGCGTAAATTGGAATGATTCTTTGTAAAATTAAAAATAAGGTATTTAATTAATAACTTTTGTAACTATAGTGAAAAAATAGAGTGTTTTGCATTAATATTAGACATAACTGGTTGATGACTGTACCACCTCAGTCAACCATGACCATGGGACCCGTAAAGGGCCCGAAACGTTGATTTGTTTGGAAAAAACAAATATACGCGATTTAAATCCGGAAAAATAGTTTCATTTCCTAAATATCTTATGTTTAAATTTTCCCATAAAGGGCCCTAAACGTTGGTTTGTTTGAAAAAACAAATATACGCGATTTATATTTAAATAGTTTCATTTCGTTTGTATAACAATCGCGATAACCTAAGAACTCGATTCATTTTCTAACTTTGGAATACTCTAGTAAGTGGAAACATTAAACATGCCTGTATTTAAAATTAGTCTTTCACTTTATAAATTGCAGAAGTTTCGTATTATCGCAAAAATGTAAAATTACAAGTATTTATTACCAGCTTTTGACCGCGAGTCGATTTGCCCGTTACCTAAGTAGATGAAAAATAACATTATAATAACTTTATGAAATCTGCCGTCTGCGAATATTTTTGCGACAATTTTTTTTTAAATATTAAATGAAACGATAATCCAATTTTAGAATATTTAAAATGTTTAATGATATTTCGGCTATGCGTCGTTAGGGTAAGTTCCAATACGTCGAACATGTTAACTAATTTTAACTGTATTTAAAAGATAATTTTGTGCTCTATTTTGTGCTATTTAAAACGGATAAAAATAAACAATAAAAATATAATAAAGTTTATTTGACAGAATGACAGCAACAATTTTTATGATTACCGCGGTCCCCACACTAGGCAAGCCTGTATCGATGAGTCCCATACAATCGATTTACGTAAAAATATAATGCTTAGCCTCTAAACGAACAGAAAGTATTAATATATTTAAAGAAAAAAAGTCGTTGAAAGACCAAGTACAAAGACTCGACGCAAGCACATAGAAAAATTCGTGAGGTCCGTTGGTTCGTTCCGTGGCTTAGTTGGTATAGCGTCTGGCACGGTATGCAAGAAGACGTCGGTTCGAATCCGACCGGATCGAAGGAATTTTTTCTGAGTGTTTTTTCTGAGTGTTCGATCTTTGCATTAATAATTATAACAAACTAGTGGAGTAATTTCACAAAAAATAATTGAATGTCAATTCAATAAAAAATTAATTAATATTTAAAGAAGTTAACCAAAGACATGTTGTGTTGGATACATTATTAATATAAATTTGTGCTTTCTTTATTTCGATACATCCTATGAAAACTACGCAAGTTTATTTTTTTGGTAATTTTCTGTTATTTTTGTAAACAGCCATAATTATTTACTAATATTATGCTCCCCCAATTTTGTGAAAAAACATAAAGAAACAAAAAACAAAATTCGAAAAAAAAAAAAAGGAATTATGTGAAAAAAGAAACAAAAAACCAAATAAAAAGAACACGTGCAAAGATTAAGTTGACGTAGCGTTCATTGGAGGTATCAACTCAGCCAAAACCGTCTGCCTTTTTAGACCGTCATTCAGTTAATCTAAAGATGGAAAGGGTGTCTTACACTAGATTACTAGTAAACAAATACGTAATCCTCTTTCAGGAAATACTGACGCCCATTTCTAACACAAATCATATACTCACCTTTCGGCAGTAAACCATATTCAGAGTTGGGATAGTCCGGCTTCGGTGTAGTCTCCTCTTGATCAAGATAACCCGAGGGTTGAGAGGTCGAGATTTCGGATTTCATTTTCGATGACTATTGGTAGAAAATAACATTAAGTTTTATTCCCTAAATTACAAAACACTGCGTTGAATGTTACTTTTTTATGATATAAAGTGGCGGGACGAACTAGTCGTGCGCCTGCTGATAAACGACACGCCTGTCCATAACAGTTGAAGCTGCTCAGAGCTTTAAAACACAAAGATTTGAGGGGCACTGCTACAGCCCACCCATCACCCCGAGACATAAATTGATAGTCTCATGTGCCTGTAATTTCACCAGCACCCTTACCCTTCTAAACTAGAATGCAGTAATGGGAGCATTACTGCCGGCAAATAGAAATAGGTAAGGTAACAGTACTTCCCTGGATGAACTCTTTCACAAGGAGCTCTAACGGCTACAAATACAATATTGTTACGTAATATACAATATTGTTAACTGTCGTGTAGGAAGTTTTGCAGGAATAAATAGAGTCAAGTTGTGATATGTCGTCAAAGTTAACGCTGGTTCTAAGAATATTAAAAAATGGACATGACAAGCTACAATTCGAATTTAATTTCAGTTCGGTAAACGCGATATTTTAAAATAAAATTATAACTTACTTACATTCACCGATTTCTTGCCAGCCACGCCTAGGCACAAATGCCCATATTCTTTACAGTCGTCTGCAATAAAAGCGAACAATTTATTATAAGTATCAAATACTTTTTATATCAAGTAAACTAAATCCCATGGTGAGAAAAAAAAATCACAAATATTATGTAACCCTATCTCATAGAAAATGTAACCAGAAATAGAGACGAAATGTCATTTAATTTGTTTGAAAACTATTCTGCCACATCATTGCGGTGACAACTGCGCTCCGATTGGCCAGCCTGAATTCGAAACAGTTGACGGGTATCGTCAAAGTTTGACGTCAAAATTAAGAAAATTGAAAAATTACACATTTAATTATTACCAGTGAAATGTGATTCCATTTGTTTTGTAATTAGATCCTTGCCGTGTTTCCCACTCCACCCAATGGAACAGCCCCCATTGTTAGAGATATTGTTTATTACAATAAATAAAGAATATTTTTTGGTATATACGGAGACGTACACATAGGTCAAATGTTGGCGCTGTATTACACACATCAACACTGTCTAGGAATATTTCACGTTTATTAGAATAACTCCAAAAGGACTGATCATATCAAAAAGATTTAAACGTCAATTTGTTCCTAGCACATTTTTTCTATATTCTAAATTCAAATTTAAAACAAAAAAACAACGGATGCGATAGTATTTTGTTAACTTTGTTACGATAGTTTGTTTTCCTCTGTGTGACTTAAAGATTAAATTGTTTTTAAACGCAATTTAATTTCTTTTCACAATTTTATTAACTGCATTATTACTGGTGGTTATTTCTATACTATGGAATAATAACGCACACACTCAACATAGCCCCACACTAGGGAAACCCTGTGTCGCGGATGCCATGGACACACACATAGACAACCACAAATTACACCCAAACTCACGAGAGAAATAAATGTAGGCCATACAAATATTTCTCCCGGCCCGGGAATCGAACCCGGGGACCTCTGCGTGGCAGTCCGGTATGGTAACCGTTCGGCCACGGAGGCAGTTTGGAATATATATTGGAATATGGTAGGAATGCCGACATTTAACTAAAGAAGAGATGTTGAGAGCCGTAGGCATGCTAGAAGCCGGCGCGATCCAGTGCAACGTTGCTGATCCCATAGGCACCAGTCAAAGTGTCATGATTGAGCGATATAGAAAATAGTCGAGTGACTACCGCAAGACAAAACCGATTTCTACAAGTTACAGCAAAGAGACAACCTAACGTTACGGCTAGGCAATTGGTTTTAAAGCTTCAACCGGAACACCAGGTCCTAATGAGCGTCCAAACTGTGAGGAGGAGACTGCACGAAGTCAACCTACATGCTTGTAGACCACTTCGGGTTCCAGCACTACGACGAGGCAATCGCGGTCGAAGATTACAGTGGGCAAATGAACATTTGGCTTGGAACAATCGACAATGGTCTAGGGTGTTATGTGTGTTCGGCTTCCAACCAGATACACGAAGAATATGCATTTCACGAACACCTGGACATACGAAACGCCTGCAAAATCCTCAGATAAAATCATCAATATTAAGATGGAACAATTATGGTTTGAGCAGGAGTACGCCTAGGAGGGAGAACTGACCTCATTTGCGTGCAGGGCAATTTAACTACCGCAAAATATCTTACTGAGGTGCTGGAATCTGTAGTCCCACCACATCGGTTGCAAATGGGCCAGGACTTTATGGTTATGCATGATAATTCCCGCCCTCACACAGCTCGAATAGTAAGGCAATAGCTGCAGCAACATAATGTTGAGACACTGGACTGGCCCGCCCAGTCCCCGGATTTAAATCCGATTGAGCACGCGTGAGCCATGCTCCAACGAAGGGCTTTTTGAAATTTTCCCGAAAATCTGGTGACAGAAAATCAACTTTTTATGCATCTTCGTCGAACCTGGAACCTTATCCCACAAAGAGATATTGATAACCTCATTTTGAGTATGCACAATCGTTGCAGATGTGTGATAAACATCCGCGGTGCTTTTACAGATTATTAAATTGTATTTTGTAACACATTAATTGTTTCATTTAATTTTTCTCTTTAAAAACCAAAAACAGAAGTTCTTATTTTAGTACAAAGTTAACTTTTTCTATTTTTACCATAAGAGTCATTAAAAATAAATATAAAAAAAATAAAAAATCTATATATACAAATAAATCTGAATATAAAAATAAGTTTGTCATACATTTCTCATAGATGGCGCTACGACTAAAAAGTCGTTGAAAGACCAAGTACAAAGACACGACGCAAGCACATAGAAAAATTCGTGAGGTCCGTTGGTTCGTTCCGTGGCTTAGTTGGTATAGCGTCTGGCACGGTATGCAAGAAGACGTCGGTTCGAATCCGACCGGATCGAAGGAATTTTTTCTGAGTGTTCAACCTTTGTATTAATAATTATAACAAACTAGTGGAGTAATTTCCCAAAAAATAATTGAATATCAATTCAATAAAAATTTAATTAATAAAAAAAAATTTTATCAAATTTTCTGTCAGATTACAAAATACTGCGCATTTTGATATAAGAACGTTTCAAAAACTTTTTCGTAGTTTCTTTGCAAGCCATGAAAAACTAAAATATCCCTAGACAGTGTTGATGTGTGTATTTCAGCTTTCTACTTTGTGATTTGAGTGCAAACGGGAGTTGATATTTAAAAGTGATATAAGGCCCATTTGGTATTTTTAACTCTGAGTGGCACTGTACCTGTTATGGACAGGCGTATAGCTTACCATCAGGCGCACGACTTGTTCGTCACGTCACTTGATGTTATATAAAAAAAAGTCACTAATTCCTATTATTTACAGGTATTACACAGGTAAGTACTAAGTACAAACATATCTCGTCGTGGTGTAGCAAATTAATAGTACTCTCGAATTAAAAAAAAAACGAAAAAACTGAAGATTCTGAAAATAGACACATTACGTTATGAAAGACTTGAAGCGTTCATCACTTCTTTCAACTCATCTTATTGAGAGACGTTGATGATGTGAGGAGAGACCATGAAGTCTCTCACACTGTAGCAGTAGGTACCCATATCTCAGAAGTGACATTAATTTACATTTGAATGAGTTGTCATTTTCTTAAATAGCAACCAGAATTTCAGCCGTAAAACATTATTAAACAAGAAAAGAAATGCATACTTACTTATATTACTTACTTTCAATAACTGTGGGTTCTCCATTACGACCTTGTGAAGGAAAATTGCATTGCAAATCACGTCGTTTGAACTCCAAATATTTAAACTATCATCATCAGCTTACACGCATCCACTGCTGGACATAAGCCACCCCTGAGTACGACAACTCTCCCGGTCCCGGGGTCCTACTCTCGAAGCACAAAATCTGTAGTTACGGCCGTTTTCCCATTGCAGATGACCTACGGAACTACTCACGAAGTCCGTGAAGGAAAATACGGGCCCGTCCGAACTATCAAATCGCGTTGTCATATATTCTTAATTCTAGCCCCAATCGAAACTCGAAAATGACCATAAGTACGGATTTCGCGCTTCGAGAGTAAGGCCGCTGTGCCGCTCGCATCCAGCCACTGCCAGCCACCTTTCTCAGGTCGTTCGTCCATCATCCTACACTAAGTTTGCCTTGACGTGGTCGCCGTTCTATTTAAACTATGTCCAACTAATATCAGAACCAGGTAAATAGTAAACACTTACCAATATCTGAAAAAGGGAATCAATAGTTTTAAATCTTCAGTCTGTGATTGCATTGCAACTAGATTTTAGCAGAATAACAAATATTGTGATAATAGCAATATAATCTCGTGGAGTCTCACTTGGGAATTATAATGACCAATGGTTTAAAAAAAAATTGGTAGAATTGGGGTCCAGGTCGGCGGTATCTTTTCGCTTTCTTTACGAAATTGATTTCACCGGACGGCGTGGTGGTAGCAACGGCAAATTCATTTCCTCCGCACACCACGCAATGCTGCTCTGAGGTTCGAGCAGTTGGGGTCTCGCCACAATGTTCATTTTAATTAATTTGTGGTGAGAGTACCAAATTAACATCTGTCGATCTTTATGAAGGAGGACTTTTGCCGTCCGCCGTCTGGCGAAACCAACTTCGCAAAGAAAGTGAAAAGATACCGCCGACCAGGCCCACCACAACCTCTTAAAACAACATTACTTTATTTGTCCTTACATTGACTTTTAGTACCATGACGCGCTTAAAGTAAGCTTACTATAATGTTAAAACTACTTTGTGACTATTCATTCACTCAGTTCGTACTATAACGCGATTTTAACGTTAAAGTAATATTGCTCTTATGTCAAATTTAACAATCTTAAAATAGTTACACGGATGCAATGAAAACAATATTATTTTCGAATTTATTGTCTAAATGTGTTGTAGTGATTTGTAGTGATTACAAGTTAAGTTGAACTTATTTATTTACTTATATATCTTCAATATATTGTTTATTTTTTTATTTAATTGTAGAGCATAGGAAATAAGTTCTCATTATAATTCAAATAAAAATACGCGATGTTTATTTCGTAAAACTCCTTTGCGATACTAACAGTTCACACTAGACTATAATTCCGAATTCACAACGTGACAATCAAAACTCGGCTTGTTTTATTTATTTTTCTTCATGAAAATGCGGAAAAATAATTGAAAACAACGTACTTTTAATAGACTTTACTATAACATACTCGTACTTTTCTTTTTTTAACAGTTAAAATTCTCTGAATGTAAATAACATTAAGTACTTAAACATTATACTAAGATAAGACAGTTCGGAACATCAAAAAAGAAAGAGATGGCATTACATAGTTCATATAGCGTTATTTCTTTCCTATTTTGAGTAACGAATAGACAATATTGGGAAATCATTCATTCTTTCAATCACTTTAGCAATAATACATTACTTGGTTGACAGGTTTGTCATGGTACCAATATGAGTAATATTATAATAAGATTACTTTAAGCTTCCATTGAAATAAGATTGTTTTTGGAAAGGGTATGGTAGGGCCCATGGGCCCCAATTCTACCAACTTTCTTAATACCATTCGTCATTGTAATTCGAAAGTGGAGTCTCACTTAGACTCCACTGAGATCATATTGCAATTATGACAATATTTGTTAATGTCAATAGAGTTTTCAATTGTGTGGCAGTCATGGCATTCATTCAATCACTGACGATCGAGATTGCGCTAATTACCAAAACTATGGAAATATGCACATCTTAATTTTTATCCAGTTTAAACAGCAATTTAGTGTTCAAATTAAGTCTACCTCTGCTGGAATTCAAATTTTTCCCATACTAATACGGTTCATTTTGCTTGGGTCGATGATGAGGAACACTGGCTTTATTTCAGGATTTATTTTTTTACAAACGATATTAAAGCCATTTGAAAAGTGTATATCGTATAGTATACGGTGAATAGGCCTTAGGGCTCATTCAGAGTGCAGGTGCGGTCGTGGCGGCGGATGCGGGTGCGCGGGTCTTGGCGTTTTCCCCTTCACAGTGCCGAAACGACTACGAGCGGATGAATCCAAACGTCGAAATCGCAAACAGACGCTAGATGCTAGAGAAAGCACTGTGAAAGGTACGGGCGGACCGAGCCAATAGGTCAAGCCGCGCGGCGCGCGTGGTCACAAGAACGCAAGGAGCGTGTACGTACATTTGATTCAGACGCATTTAGACTCTGAATAATGTCCAGTCGCTAGCAAGGTGTATCGTATTCCCATACACATCACACGGGTACATACACAAAAGCGTACACAGCTTGCGTTAGTTTTCTTGTTCAAAAGGCTCTTAAAACCAAAGCATATTTTAAATAAAGGTAAACTCACGCTTGGCGCTGACTTCCTGTGTCATGAACAGAACGGCAACGAATACGACTGTTATCCAGAAGTGTGTCATAGTTACGCGCTACAACAAATATACATGTTTTTCAATACTAATAATTCAGTATTAAGATTTATTTATTTACTTCAGATAATCAGCGGAATTTCTTAAATAATACGCTTAATAAAATTTCATTTATCCCATAGTCAGTACGATAAGTAAGGCACGTGTGTGAGACGAGTAAGTATGTCGTTACGTTCCAGAGCTAAAAAATAAATAAATATATAAACAAATATTAGACAACATCACATACGTTGCTCTGATCCCAAATTAAGTAGCCAAAGCACTTGTCTCATGGAAATCGGTAACAAAGACGGTACCACAAACACCCAGACCCGACAATATAGAAAATTTAGTTTTCTACACTGACCCGGCCGGGGATCGAACGCGGGACCTCGGTGATGGCGACACTACGAAAGCCGGTGTGCAAGTCATTCGACCACTGAGGTCGTCAAAAATAAAAAATAAAATTTTAATATTAATTTTATCGAACATCACGATGTTATACTACCATGATATTAAATCATTAGTGTTATAATTCTTAATACAAAACACTACGACAAACAAGCCATTAAAGCCAGAAACAAAGACCTCCAACAAGCACATATAGAACATCCTAAAGTTTGCTGACTCGTTCCGTAACACGTTAGTTGGGGTTCAGCTGGACCGAAAGGCTGTTTCTGTCTGTTCGATCTTTGTATTAAGTAATATTTATCATCATCATCATCCCATTTAAGAGCCAGTCAATACTTTCGACTACGGAAGTTCGAGACGCAACGAAACGATTTTACTATTAATAAGATAAACTGATGGCGGTAATTCGATCACGCCATAATTGCTTGCGGATTTGAACCTGAAGAGAGGCCACGTTATCAAGTATATTTACATAAACTCAGATAGTCAAGCCGCTCCAAATGCACTAACTTCAGTAACCCAAACATCGAGGATAGTAGAGAACTGTGCGACTATACTGAATGCTCTCGGGAAAAGGAATAAAATGGTCCTGCGCTGGAATCCAGGTCACTCTGACGTCGAGGGAAATGAGGCAGCAGACGAACTGGCAAAAGCTGGTGCTAGGGAAACCTTTACAGAACCTGAACTCTTTGTAGGGATAGCATACATCCTGGCAAAGCTCTCTCTACTGAACGAGAGCACACCTGTCTCCCGAGAAGTGTGGCTGCAGGGCACAGGTCTTCTCATACCTGCCTATAGTGCCCACCACTGTAAGCAGGCATGAGAAGCTCTGTCCTTGGACAGGAATAGCACCAGAAAGCTCACTAGAGTCTTAACATGATACTATGACTTGAACAAGCACATGTCAAATATTGGGCAGAGACATAATAGAGAGTGTAGATTCTGCCACGAGATGGATGAAACTCCTGTTTCATCTTCTCATCTAATGTAACCCACTGATGGGCGTACGTAGCTGCATACTGGGAAGGCAAATGCCACTACCAGAGCACATAAAATCTGTCGGAGCTAGGAAATGTAATTCAGTTCTTCAATGCTGTCGGCCTTGGCTCTGAACTGTAATTAGTGGTGATCACAATAGATCAGCTGATGGTCGCAGTGATGAGAGGCCGAATGAAGCCACTCTAATAATAATAATAATAACTCGATCACGCAAATCGCGTTCACTCCGTTTTTCTGAAATCCTATGAATCCTGTATATAATCCTATATTAAAAGCAAAACGCGAACGTGATACGAATGAGCACGTGTCCGCTTTCTGTTTGTGGGATACCTAAAATTAAGTCTAAAATGCTTTTTTCAGGAATAACTTTCTTTAAAAGTAAGCTATTTATAAAATTGTAAATGAAATTGGTATAAAACTCCGAGCAAGCCACCGAAGATGCCTTAGGCCGCAAATTCAGAACCGTGGTGCGTTCAACGGGGCGTTCATGGTTTGCGCGTACATTGTGTCTTGTGTTGGATACATACCAAAACAAGACACACGTTTGCGCGCAATGTACGTAACATAAATTGCATTGCAGTCGTCTCTATGAATTCTGTGCAAATCTCTCTCCCGCTCTCTCTCTTCTATTGAATGCAACCACAAACAATCCCATATTTTTGTCGAAAAAATTTACATCGTCATAAACCATCAGCCCGTTTACACATCCCACTCTGAGTAGCATATCCCACTGCATAGTCTGCCACGCTGGCCCAATACTGCTTGGGGACTTCACGTTTTCCGACGGTTGTGAACCTTCTTCGAAGTGCAGGGTTCATCAAAATGTTTTCCTTCACCGAAAAGCTCATGATAAATTTCCACTAAACTACCACCAAAGCTTACAATAAATAATACTCTTATAACCATATTATATTACATTCTAGCATTTAATCTATATTTGATTAACATAAATTGCTTCGGAAGCAAGTTTTAAAGGACAAATATACTGTCCTAATTGTTTTGACGTGTTAAATGAAAGTTGTTGTTACTTCGAAATGAAGACTGGACAAAGGTTTACTATAATACATACTGACTTCTACTTGCTTTTATTTGACCTATTTATGGGTATCTATAGTTAAGTACAAAACACTGCATACATAATATACATAATGTACCTAACATATCCTAGGACGAGTTCTGTAATCCGCAATTTAGTCACTAAAACATTTTTCTAAAGCCTCTACACAAGTCACTTATGTAGCAGTAAAAACTTCGTCCAGGGCAATACTTGCCTCATAAACCCCGGCGAGTTCATAATCAGGAGCGGGTCCAGCAGAGACGCTCTTGAAGGCGTATCACTGGCGGAAGGCTTGGCCCGCACGCCCGCTGTACTCTGGTCTTGCCGGAGAGACTACACCCCGAAAGTATCAACCTCTTGACTATACGGAAGGGCACTATAATTTGTGCAAATAAGCCCGCACAGAGTCCTACCCGGTTAGGTCCTATCCCCAGATCAGCCCGTTTGCAGGGACTTCAAGAGTTCGTCCAGGGAAGTACTGCCATCTTACCTACTTCTGCCGCCAAGCAGTATGTTAGCATTATTGCGTCCCAGTTTTGAAGGCCAAGGGATCTGATGAAATTACAGACATATTCATATGGGAGTTGTCAATTTATGTCTCAGGGTGACGGGCGCAGTGGCAGTGCCCCTCAGATCTTTGCAATTTAAAGCTGTGAGTGACACTGCAAGAGATGCACTTTAAATCACTTCAACGACGCACGTCTCGCTCGTCCTTAGGTGAGTCGATCCGGGTGCACGTACAGCGCCCTCCCTATTTTCCTGATAGGTACCGGAGCTGTAGGCATGCTCACTTCCCGCTGCGCATTATATCGGTGGACAGTTAGTAACGTACTACGTAAAATAAAATGAGAGTTACTACGTGTTGAAACTAAAGTGCGGCACATAGCTAAAATAGGTCCCCGTGTGCACAGATGTATACCGAAGAATGTATGAGACCATGCACACACTAACAAAACTTTTTATACATCCAACACATACATATAAGCAAACCTTATTACAAGTACGGATAAAACTTGAAATAACTTACAGTACTTCTTCTATTTTAACTCATGAAACTCCAACTTCGTAAATGGCAATAGAAATGCGTTACTGGGGCAATTTTATTAACGCGACATATATATGTATATAGTGCGCCTCGCCATGACTTTTAAACTCTAACCATATATTATAAAATTCACTATTACACACTTGATCGTTAAACAAAAAGTGAAATTACTTTGCTCTTGTGTGTAAATTAGTCCGTACGTATTGAATATTTTCCATGCAATTAATTTTTCCCTCAGCATGCAATTAATGAAACAAATAACACAAACGCAACTGTAGTCACAATCACAACCATCAAAAATATACCCAATTATTTTAAAATATACCCAAAACCAAATATTTTGTTTAACATGGACTTTTGCAAAGTAACGCTTGAATCTATTTACTCGTGTTCATGTGTTGGGCACGTTATGTGACGTATTTTGGAAAATATTCAAATTGAAATAATATCCTTAAGGTAATTGACTAGCAAATGTCTATAGCAACTATTGAACGACGTCGTAAAGGAATCGAAATGACAAATTACTTTCTTAAAGAGTGACTAATTAGTATTCGACTTTCTTTAAATTTGAAATCAATTTTTGATTACACTGCTTGTTTGTTGTAATGATATTGAGAAATCTAATTGAGTTTATTTAAAATTTTCATTTTACGTTTAATCGTATCGCGACCAAGTACGAAAAATACTTCAAGATTTTTTAAAGAATTTACCAAAGTAAAGAACTATTAGTTCGTTCACTATTAGTGTCTAAATTCAAATTCACGTCTAAAGGTGCTTTTGCACCGGGTAGGCGAGACTTGAAAGAGCGAGAGACGAAAATTGAAATCGTATTTATATCGTAACGCGGGTCACAGCTCACAATAATAACAGCCATCACAAGCTGTGGTTGTAGATAGTAAAATATAAAATTACGAGTGCTCGCGAGTGCCCGCGAGCGTACTCAAACCTCGCACAGCTCTGATGGAATCGCAGCCTAATGCTAGAAATCGAATGGAAATTTTTAACGTAAATTGTATAAATTATAAAAAAATTTGACCTGAAAACATGTTCGGAAACGCAAACAAATTTGTTTCTATATACTTTTAAACTTTCGCGTTGCATTATACCTACTAACATTTGGAAACGGGTTATTCCCGCGTTTACGGTTATCCGTAAACGCGGTTATTCACGTTTCCAAATGTTAGTTATACGAATAGGTATTTTTCACACCTACTTAATAAGTGTCCCGACGTGAGTTTGCACTGGCGAGGTTGCTCTGGCCGTTGTTACGGGCTCACTGGTGATACAGTGTTTACATCTCCATCTCGGCGGTGGAATCTTCATCCACCCGCATAACATTTTTTAAACTATTGCCATACACAACACCCCTGTGTCCCTATTCTGTATCACAGCCGTATTCTGATACGCAGTTGATCTCGAATTTGCTTCTGTTTTTTCATATACTAACCTAGCCTACTGAATAGGGGGTGAACCAAGATTTGACCAATCTGAAATACATTTGTTTTCTTTTAAGCCATCGTATAATCCAGTGTGTAACAATTCTAATTTTGTTATATTTATTAATACAAAGATCGAACATTCAGAAAAATTCCTTCGATCCGGCCGGATTCGAACCGACGTCTTCTAGCTTACCGTGTCTGACCCTATGCCAACTAAGCCACGGAACGAATCAGCGTACCTCACGAATTGTTCTATGTGCATGCGTCGTAACTTTGTATTTGGTTTTTTCAACGACTTTTTAGTCGTAGCGCCATCTATGAGAAATCTATGAAAGTTTTATCACTCAGTTAGATATCTTTACAGTTACCAGTCCTAGCGAGAGATGTCGCTATTCACTGTATTTTACATTTTTATTGAATTAATATTCAATTATTTTTTGTGAAATCACTCCACTAGTTTGTTATATTTATTAATACAAAGATCGAACACTTAGAAAATTCCTTCGATCCGGCCGGATTCCAATCGACGTCTTCTAGCTTACCGTGCCAGACGCTTATACCAACTAAGCCACGGAACGAACCAGCGGACCTCACGAATTTTTCTATGTACATGCGTCGTATCTTTGTATTTGGTTTTTTCAACGACTTTTTAGTCGTAGCGCCATACAAAAAAACAAACAAAGGCCGCGAATGTCCGCTCCTTGACGGTCGTACCATAATCCCCACTAAGCGGCTGAATGGAACACCCCGGAGTTTTAGTGGGTAGGCTTCCTTTCTGGAAGAGAGTCCCACATAACCCCGCGCCTCCTCGGGCGCAGAGGTAAGCGTAACACATTTCTCCGGGTTAAAAAAGGCTACACACCATTATGTTGTAGGGCTACACTATTAGGCTTGATTCATATCGCGTAGACGCTACGCGACGCGACGCGGCGCTGCGTTAAAACGAGCAATGCAACTTTAACTTTATCCTCTACAAAATAGGGCAACATTTCATTAAACAAACTACTGCGGAGAGATGCGGTAGGCGCACTTTATAAAATGCAATATACTATAGAACATATTCTCCACTAAATAAAGTATACATTTCTTCAAACAACAAAAACAAAAGAGTAAAGCCGCGCTGCGTCGCCTACGGCAGGTAACGGTCGGCAACGCAGCGCGAAGTCACTAAGCGTCGGCGACTTGTTCCGCCTCCAGCAATGCAAAGTGTAACTTAACTTCTTAACAATAAGGTATATTTTTTTGAAAGGCATATTGCGTGGTTGATGCAATGTAGTATAGAATTTCATATTTACTAAACAAAGTCGATATTTGTTTGAAAGCAAAGCAAAAAGCGGCGCTGCGTCGTCCTTCGCCGCCGACAGTCGCCTACCGTCGCCGATACAGCGCGGCTTTTCTCTTTTGATAGAAGCAATATATACTTTATTCAGTAGATAATATGTTCTATATTATAATGCATATTATAACGTGCGCCCGTCGCAGCTCGACGTCTCCCGCGGCCGTTTGCTGCCGCCTGTACTGTGGTCGTGTTTAAGCAATTTGTAGGTTATTCATGCAAATAATATTGCGTGGATGAGAAAGTCCCGGCTTTCATTACCGGTAGAACCAATTTCGGATATGTACTTTTCTAAAGTGTTTTTGGCCTAGGTGTTGTGGGTTGTGCCGCGGAGAGACTTTGTAGCTCTTGGTTCAGGGTTCGACTCCCGGTAGAACCAATTTGAAAATGAACTTTTCTAAAGTGTTTTTGGCCTAGGTGTCCTGGGTAGTGCCGCGGAGCAAACTTTGTAGCTCTTGGTTCCGGGTTCGACTCCCGGTAGACCCAATTTTGAAAATGAACTTTTTGTAAAGTGTTTTTAGCCCCCTAGGTATTTTAAAAGCGCGCCTACCGCAGCTCTCTGCAGCCCGCCATCGGTTACTGCATCTTCATTTTCATTTGTTTGTTTAATGAAATGTTGTCTTATTTTGTTGAGGATAAAGTTTATCTTGCATTGCTCGCTTGAATGCAGCCCGCGCCGCGTCGCGTAGCGTCTACGCGATATGAATCAAACCTTCGATAAATTCACAGGAACAACCCTTGAGGTCTCACCGTTAGGGTTAATAGGTTAGTTTATATTTTTTATATTATGTTTACCGTAATTTTTAATTAAATTAATTATTAATGCACAGCAGGTGGTTGGTATTTGCTGCATACACCACCACACACTACATTGACAGACAAGCACTACCACCACATTAATACCTAACTGCTCGCTGTTTAGATGTCATAAATGTCATCATTCGTTAAAAGAAAGGACCAATTAAAAAAGACGATCAAAAATTATTTTTGAATACTTAATCTTAGAATAATAACGGTACTAAATATTAATTTAGTATGCTTAAACTTAATAATAGTGTTACCATGAATGCAGTTCCTTTATAATTTATCCGTAGATCAACTAAAATAGAAGGAAAAATTTATATATATATCAAACATAAAAAATATCGTTTATTTAAAAAAAAGTGCACATTTACAATAGATCAACTATTTATTTGAAGAAATAATAGGAAGAAATAATATTATCATTCCATATTTAACGTGTTGAAGATAAAGTTTGATATAATAATTAGTGGCGTGTCCGTGATGGACCTACATTCGAAGATGCCCGTAATTTATAAGAATTTCGTTGCTGGTCATTGACTTACAATTATATGGACGTCGGGTCCGCGCTAAAAAGTGTCCGCACTTGTAAGGCGCTAAAATCGTATACAGAGCGCGACACTCCGCTTTAGTCTTCATTTGCGATGCGATGCGATGACATAACAATTTAAATTTCGAATAGGTTGACTTGGGACATTTTTTTCGTGGTTTTTGTATTAGACCCGTCGTCCATTTATTTGTAAGTCAATGTTGCTGGTATAGCATTTTGGACGTGGTAATTTGGTTGTTGCAGGCCATGCCGATTTTACACTGATCATGTTCATCGACAGTAATGGCGTGGCGGCTCATCAGCATCACAAATGTCTAGTTGTAACTTTAAACCGGAATAGAATATTATTGAGATAACAAAAACTGTCACCTCTAAATCGTTAACACTGCTATAATGAGTAGAAATAGCTGAGTTCGTTTCTGGATACTGACGTGCTGAGACGTTTCGACCATGTTTCGAGTCAGATACAGTATAAATTACTAATTATTGTGCTGCAGAAAACGTCACAAATTTTTAAAGAAATCCACGCTGGAAAATTTATAATATTTCTTCGAATGCTTTTGTGAATTCCCTACCCACATTGGATCGTCTGGTAAATTACGACCTTAAACCCTCTTTCTAGAAGAGACACGTATCCAGTTGTGGGATGTGTATGGTAATAAAATGCCCAATAAATCAATATGAATTACATATTCCGTATCAACACATAAATATCCCTTGTGCTAATGCCCCGGTGTGGACGTTCCTCAGGGAGAGGTTTTTAGCCCCTCAAAGGCCTTTGTGCTCCCTTGTGAATTTCATTGTCGTAATTTACTCCAACACGCAAGTTGTTTGGATGTTTTCTTTCAACGTTGGACAAATATTATTGCGTTTGTTATGTATTCCCTATTGTGACCATGAACATCATTACTTAACAGAAATGTTTTCA